TATTTTCAAGTGATTAAACACTAATGAAAACATACATATGAATATTATATTCCATTGCCAATAGATCCTCCTAAATGTTACACAGTGGACCTTTAAAATTTTGCCTCAGCCTGCTGCATAGTCATGTTCATGAACGTACATCCATTAGTTACGAGCTAAAATGTGATGGCAAGAAAGCAAGCAGAGGTAAAATAAATGGTTTAAAAACACTGCAACCGTGGCTCCAAACGGGAATTGTTGGGAAGAGAAGCACGGACAAGTTTAGCTCTGGTTCTTAAACCAGTTCCATTCAGGAAGTAACAATAGTCAACCATAAACAATATTCTTATTAGGAAAGTGATTAATCCTGGCTACAGCATTTAGGACGCAGACCAACACTGCTGAACACACGAGCAAGGCTAAGTGATTGTAAACCTCCGACCTTTAATTAAATCCATGTATGTAAGTGTCAGCACCTGGCTCTTGTATTACAAAAAAACAAACTTAACATAAGTGTTTGGTTTGTCCGTTCTGAGCTACTGTAGAAACGTGGCGGTCCAACATGGCGGAGTCATAATGGTTCAGCGATTATACATGAATGAAAACATACATATGCATATTATATTCCTTTTCTGCCAATAGACTTTATCAGTAAAGTCATTAAAGTAATGCATGAGTGTGTTGTACAGTGAGAGGTAGATGTTGGATACCAGAACACAATCTAAACCATGCACAGGCTTTTATAGCCGGGAAACACCGGGCCCAGGTGTGTCCTGATATGCTGATTCAGTCCGTCCCTCTAGTACCTGCTGCATTAAGAGGAATAGGAAACTAAAAATAACCCAGGGGACGTTCACAGTAAGGCAAGTTCAATGTTATATAATGTTTAATTTCTGGGTTAAAGAGCCATTCATTTCTAAGTACTGTTTCCATTTCTTAGCTCAGCAAAGCATTGTTGTGTATGAAAAGTCTATAAATGAACCTTTACCCCTTAAATGTGTTTAATGGACTATACAATGTGAAAAAACATTCCTTTGTTACACATTGGTATTGAACCTAGTCAGTAGATACAGTTTTGAGCTGCAGCATAAATCAGTCATCAGCTGACTAAACATTTATAAGGTTCTACTAAATTATCATATGCATAGTGAACTTTTTGCTGTAGATGTAAAATTTAAATTGAGTCTGAGTGCAAAATCTTTGTTTCCTTTCATTCTATTATAATGCCCAGCATACTGGTTAATTTTCTGATTGGCTAAATTAATTCTTCACCCTATTAATGAATACAATCACATATTTAACTCACGTATATATTACTAAAATAAATACCATTTAAAATTCATATACCCAATATGCGTACCAGTATTAATTAAAGATTTTGGAGAGTTCAAAGAAACATTATCTTATCAGTGCTCTGTGTCGGGTTGATTTTGTTGTGTGCTGAAGCAGGAGAAAATCTGAACACGCAGATGGATTAATATTCCTCACACAGCGTTATCATCCCAGGGACGGAGTGCAGGACGGAGGGAGTGGTGATGAGATGTGAACAGGAAAAATCTGACTCCTGTCTCGGCAGTTTTGCCTGTATACTACCAGTCTCCACATCTTACTCTCTCTCCCTTTCTGTCTAGGAACCAAGCTTTCTCTCTCATCCTCTCAATCTCGTTCTCCTCCTCTTGTCTTTATCGGAGCTCTTCTTCTTGATTCCTTACTTTAATGACGGGACGGGAAGAGGAAAAACAAATACAAAGACATTTGAGAGATAACAAAAATTGAAACCAGACAGAAAAAAACACCCACCGGTCTTTCCATCAATGTTCTGTTTGGCTCTCTCTGTCCCTCTGGGTATTGTTCTCCCAGGCCCCAGCTGCGGGTACGAGCAGCTTGTTACTTGGTTAAATGAGGTTGGATAGAGGTTAGCTCTGTGCTGAGGCGAGATCAAGAGGGCTTTCGCACACACACACACACACACACACACACACACCCAGTTTGTCGTACAAGTCCAACAATCAAAAGAAAACCCAAAGATAATTTGAACATTTGCTGATGACATATATATATACTACACAGTAATATAAAGTAACTACTGCCGACAGCACTGGCATCCTCTCTTCAAAATGTACTTTATTCTTGTACAAATTCAATCTTCTGTTTATTAACATGATGCCACATTCTGAGAGTCAATAGTCAGTATCAGTTATTTTCATTCTCCTAACAATAAAAAAAGCTCTTTTCACGTTCCAGCAAAACACAATTAATTATCAGTTCAATTTACATCCATCTGAAAATGCCCCATACTGTGTAACAAACCTTCTCTGTCTACAGTGAAACAAAAACACTCACCAGTTAATTGAAACTGAAAAGATTTATAAAATAAACTGATTATCCCGGGAGGGGCATAGAGGGTGGATTAATTGATAAGTGAAGTGATTAGTGAAGTCATCATAGGCATCACAGGCAGTCCGTGAATAATTCACTATTTCTTCTTTCTCTGAAAACAGACTGACTGCAGGGAGGTCTGCAGGGCTGTCAACACACACACTGGTTCCAACAATGCTAATTGTTTGGGAAAATGAAAAAAGAGTGTTTGTGTGTGTGTGTGTGTGTGTGTGTGTGTGTGTTTACATGTGCAAACCCATTTTAATTGGCTGACAAAACAAAACCAAAAAATCCATACAGAAATTCATGATCAGCATTATCTGAACCATCAGCACTTCTGTGTGAACCCATAACTTTTTTCCTCATACCGCACACAGGCCACAAAACCACCCACTTCCATATTTTATCCTGACTGCCGCACTGATGCGGCACTATTGATTGATGAATTCTTTAAGTGGTTCTTCAATCCTGGAGTTTAGAGAAGACAGCAAGAGGATGGACCTCTGTGTGTGTGTGTGTGTGTGTATGTGGTCACTGTGGTACAGAGTAGACCAACACATACTTAAGCCTTTCCCCTCCACTGCACTTGCTTTCCTCCCATCTATTCTCTTTGTTCTACGTTTTCTGTTTCTGCACTCTAACTTCATCCTTTAAACTCTTCTGCTGTGTCTCTCTCTCTTTTATTTAGTCTTCTTTCACTTTCCACTCTTTTTTACCCTCAATAAATAAATTTAAAAAAGTTGTTGCTGAAGTAGAAATCTGTCTCCAAACCTCAAGGTTGCATCAGATTTAGAGTTTCGCTCTGTATTTCTGTAATCTCTGCAAAGCGGTCCAAGTATATTTGATCTTATCAATCCTGCTGCAGTGTTTGAACAGTTGTACAGCATCAACTATAAAATATGATGGAATTAAAGGACCAGTGTGCAGGATTTAGTGACATCTAGAGGTGAAGTTCCAGACTGTATTTGACGACGTGGGATTGAGAATGAATTGTGAAGTGTGTAGGAGAAACGCTAATTTATATTCCATTTAGGCCAATAGATCCTCCTGAATGTTACACACTGGACCTTTAAAAACTGAACCAATTACTGAAGTTTCTGTTGACACTTTGTCAGAAGGAAGTTAAACTTTGAGTTCATTTGTGAGGCTGGCTTCAAGAGCACTCTTTCTACTATGTTGACAATATAGCAGAAAAATCTAAACAACTAAAACAATATTTTTGCGCTGTGTTGGATTGCCAAATGTTTATATTGTTTTGTCCACCTCCCCTGTGTGTGGCAGCTGAGAGAGCAGACAAAACAGAAGCAGATATAAATATAACAGCGCAGACTAAGGCGATTCAGGTGGAATTGTTTGGAAGAAATCAATAGGACTTGAAGAGGCAGTACAGGAGACAAGGGCATGCAACACAACAGAACTGAAAATAGGTGCAAAAGATGGTGTGTGTGTGAGAGAGAGAGAGTTTTTCTTTGTGTTTGTGTGTGTATATAAGGGGCCATACAGGATCTTCAAGCTTTAACTCTAACAAAAACAGTTTGATCCTCTCAAAACAAAAAAAAATAGGATCTGCGTTCCACAAAAAATGTTTTTAATTTAATGATAATGAGGCGTCCTGTTTGTCTGGTGTCAGGACACACAGACTACTATATAACCAAAACATACTAGGTTTGATATCAGCCTTTCTGTCACCTGTCTGGCCAGAGATAAATAAATCATTATACACTATTTAATACAGATATAAAATTCATAATTACGTATAATCCATTAACAATTGCTTTTGTTTCTTATACAATTAAAAAATGGGTCTGTTAGAAGATGATGCAGATCGTTTTCAATATATAAGCCAAGTCAAATATCTGGTCTGGTTGGCCTACCTACTACTAAACTCTACTTCTCAAGCACAACAAGCTCAG